AAACTAAATTTTTTTTTTAAAAAAAAACATCCTTCCGAAGCAGGCAACGGGATTTCAATTCCGATAGCCGACAGCTTCTTACGGGCAAACCCCACACCAAAAATAGTGCCGACAATGGGTCTTATGTTAACATATGTGGGATGGTACAAAAAAGGTTTTAGATGAAATAGGAAGTACTTGCTGCAGTTTGACATTTTAATTGTTATGACCAGTGGGCATATTTCAGTAAGTATATTTTCTATATTTCTTCAATTTTTTGATTGATCTGTTGTTTTTTTTTCATAACTGCAAGACAATGAGTTCTAAATATTCAGGGAAGTCTGGGCAGGTGATGTGCCAGTGCGGGCTACCAACCTTGCTACTCACGTCACGTCAGCCACATAGCTACGGGAGACAATTTTACAGGTGCCCGCGGTGGGCACAAGGACATGAGAACTGCACTTTCTTTAGGTGGGCCGACAGTACGTCCGTTTTTATGTTATCTCAACTTGGCACCGCTCCTCAGAGTTCGTCGGTATCAAAATTTAAGAACACCGCTTCTGTTTGTATCCCAGTCGGACATGTTCGCTCAGGGTTCTAGAGTGTCAGAGTCGGGCATAATGGGCTGTGATATGCTGATACATTTTAAAGTCAACATTATAATTTTATTCCTTGTAATTTTGATATGTTATTTTTTCTTCTTTTTTGGGTCTCATTACAGTACATATTAATGTGTTAACGTGTATTTCACTTTTGTTTAGGTAACTGTGTTTTTGTGATATGGTCTGAAATATATCAGTGCCATAAATATTTTGTATTTTCATGTCTTAACATTTGAACTTTAATTTTAAGAATATTTGGTATTTTCATGTTCTTTAATCTTCACATTTATTTTCCCTTTATAATTACATTAAGAAGGTCGGTAAATTTGTAAAACAAATTGCAAATAAGTTGTTTACAAAACGCACAAACCAAAAAGCCAAACAACTTATCCAGAATAGAGGTAGATTGGTCATTTATCCAGAATCAGTTGTTCTCAAAACTCACTAACCAAACAACCAGTCAGTTTATCCGGATCAGTTGGTCATCAACAGATTATCAGGATAAGCTGTTGATGAGCATAAGCTGGATAAGCTGAGCTGCCCCAAATAGACCCTAAATCATACTTGCAACCAAACAGAGTCTAGGGAAAAAGTTTAATTAGGGGCTTTTTGGTACATGATTTTTGTAGGATTTATGCTAAATCTCGCCAAACGATACAAATTGCCTCTATAAATCCTACAGGTTCTTAAATCTCATTTTTGGTTTGTTTTACCTTAAATCCATGATTTACCGAAAGAAGTAGGAAGTATGATTTAAGGGATTTAGAAATGTTGAATCTTATGGGATAAAGTCATTACAAACAACTACAATCGCTCAAAAAATTAATTTTGAATTGAATTTCTTTCGAACCGACCTCCGGTTGGATCAAAATCGAATCGTTTAACATCATACATCATATTGATGTTAGGTATGTCGAAGATCATTAAATCATTATTGCGTTTATTTTTAATATTGTTTTGGCTTTGTATTTCTGTGTTTTTAGTTTCAGTTGCTTGTAGATTGCACTTTATAGTCTTCTCTTCCATTTACTGCATAGTTTTGTTTTTTTTTTTTTTAATTTCACCGGTTTGTATATTGTATGCATGTAATTTTGTGTTGCCCTTGCTTTTTACTGTATATTATGGTACTTTAATCCTTAGTAACATGTAGATGTACTACTTAAATTTATTTTCCTACTTGCAGATGACTTATGGAGGAAGGGGCAGTATGCCCTCTGTCGGAGAAAATGTTGGCTTGCAGAAGTCCGTAAGCCGACGAGGTCGTGGGTGTAGTGGTACAGAGGGCACCACACAAGCAACGCCTTTAACCTCAGCTACCACCCCAGTTCATCAACCAATCACGATCCCGACACCACTACCACCACAAACCACGACACTACCACCGCCAGCAGCCACAACACCACTGCAGCCAACAATCGCAGCCACGACACCACCATAGCGACCACGACATCACCAACACCATCAGCATCAGTTGCATTGATGTGTCGTAGAATTCAAGCAAACCAGCCTTTAGCACATCCGTGGCATCCACTTTCACTTCACAGGAGGAGGAGATGCGTCGTCAGGTTGCTACTGACGTTGCTGCCCAGGTAGCCACCTTCAAATTGGAGATGAGAGCAAAGTTTGAATCGGTGTTGTGTTCAGAACTGTGTAAAGGGAGGGAATCAGCGCAAGATGAGGGTGGCGATGAAGATCACTCTTTAAGGCCAAGTGCGACAGAGGGGATTCGAACCCCCGACTTGAGGGGTCCTACACCAATGATGCCATCCAATAGGCCGAGGACGCGACACATATTCAACAATTACACACACGCAATATATATATATATATTATATATATATATATAATTTAACTATTTCATGCTAAAATGAACAAAAAATGAAAAAAACAAATTTTTGTTCGTATTTGACTCATACAACTAAATATTAATTGTTCGTCGACAAAAAAATCATTTTGAGAACCCTAAGTGCAGTTATGAGTGAGTTTATTATTATCATTTATCATAATAATAATACCATAATATTATCAATATATGCACATATAAGATCTGCTCAATTCATAAGAAATACCCAATAAATAACTTTTTCATTAATATCAAACATTATTAGTAAAGTGCAGAGTAGCAAGAATCCGATTGACAAAGCATGGAGAGCTATCACCTCCTCGCAGCTCCGGCGGCCATGGCCGGCGTTCTGGACTACAAAGACCGTCCGATCACCAAGACAAGCTCCGGCCGGTGGGTCGCCGCCTCCTTCATCCTCGGTAAAACTAAACCGCTGAAGCTCTTCAACCAAGCCACCTTCACTTCCTGCTCAAAGTAACCCTAAATCTTAATCGAACAGGGCTGGAAATGGCCGAAAGAGTGGCTTACAACGGCATCATGTAAAATCTCATAAGCTACATGACTGGTCCTCTCGGCGGGAGCCGCCCCCCTCTCTGGAGCAGCGCCACCCTTCTTCTTCCCTTCATCGGAGCTCTGGTCGCCGACTCCTTTCTCTCCCGCTACCGCACCATCGTCATCTCCTCTCTCCTCTACGTCTTGGTTAGCTCTCCTCCTCCGTTGTCCCACCTTTCTTCTTCTCATCAATCCATGATAAAAAAATCCAATCTTTCTACCTCCGCCGCAGGGCCTCGGCTTGCTAGCGTTCTCCACCATGCTGCCGAATCAGTCCGACTGCTCGGGAAAACTCGGCGATGAAGTCAAAGGCCATTCTTTTTGCACTCCCTCTACTTCCAAGGTGGCGTTATTTTACTTCTCTATATATCTCGTGGCGTTTGCAGAGGGCGGCCATAGACCTTGCGTTCAAGCTTTTGGAGCTGATCAGTTCGACGAGACGGATAAAGATGAGTGTTCGTGGCGGAGCTCTTTCTTCAATTATTGGATCTTTGGATTGGACTTCGCCCTCACTGCATCTCCCATCGCTCTCAGCTACGTGCAAGCTAACGTCGATTGGGGCCTCGGTTTCGGAATCCCATGTCTTCTTCTTGCTTTTGCTCTCGCTGTTTTCTTGATCGGTTCGAAGTTTTATCGCTGCTATACGTTGAAAGAGACGAGCCCTTATGATCGACTCAGGCAAACTTTTTCTCACTCTGTTCAAGAGAAAAAATCCTTCTGTTGCTAAATCCAAAGAAGAAGAAGAAGAAGAAGAAGAAACAGGGGAGCTCTGCTCTGTTCCATCCAATCCAGCAAAGTAAGAGGCTTTTTATCTCCTGCTGTTTCATCGAATGATCTAAAAATTTGAACTTTTTAAACTTCGTAGTTTGCTTTCAATCAGACAACTCGAATCAGCAGGAGAAACTCTATTGGCTGAACAAATTGAAGACGAAACAAAGAGTCTCCTCCGATTGTTTCCAATATGGGCGACCTGTTTATTCTACTCTGTCGTCAGGAGCCACGCTGAACAGGAACATATTTTAAAACTTCCATATCCCCGCCGCAGGGCTGCAGAGCCTCACAAATCTCATCATAACCATCCTCATCATCTTCTACGACCGCCTCGTCGTTCCTCTAACTCGAAACATTACAAGAATTCCTTCAGGCATCACGATGCTTCAACGCATCGGCACCGGGCTCCTTCTCTCTGTTCTCGTCATGGTGATCTCAGCTTTGGTGGAGACGAAAAGGCTTGAAACCGCAAGAGAATTCGGCCTTTTGGACGAGCTTCCCATGAGCATATTGTGGCTGTTTCCTCAGTACATTTTGTTGGGTGTTTCGGCAGTGTTCGCCACAGTTGGGCTGCAGGAGTTCTTTTATGATCAGGTGCCGGATTCATGGCGGAGCTTCGGGATTGCGCTCTGTCTCAGCATATTTGGGATGGGGAATCTGATTAACAGCTTTCTGGTTTATGGGACGGATAAGGTGACGAGAAAGATTGGAGGGGAGAGCTGGTTTTGTGATAATTTAAATGAGGCTCATTTGGATTATTTCTACTGGTTTATTGCTTGTCTGGAGCTCTGTTCCTTCCTTGCTTTTGTTTACTGCGCCAGATGTTATGTGTATAAGAGGAGGAAGATGGAGATTTAATGGTGTTTGATTTGGGATTGCAGGTTTTGTGGATTGGTTATGATGAATGATTTGTAGGGGACGATAACTTAATGCTGTGGATTCAATTTGTTTTTCAGCATTTTTTTTTTTTGAGGTTTTTCAATACATAGCACACAAAACATTAATATTTACATATGTAGGCCCTCAAATTTGAATATTATGGACTTATGTATTTACATATATGAGATCTAAATTTTGCCTTTTTACATTTATAACGCTTAAAACTTTCACATCACATAAAAACATATTATAATTTTAATTCTTGAAAAGGTGAAATGCATCTTTACATGCTCAAGTAAAAGGGTATATGTATAAAAATTGAAGTTTATGAGCGTGTTATGTAAATGCATAAGAATTGAGGGTATATGTATAAAAATTGAAGTTTATGAGCGTGTTATGTAAATGCATAAGAATTGAGTGGTATGCACATAAATCTTCCTGACTAGTGCTATTTCTGTAAATAGCCAAGTTTTTTAGTAGGGCTGTCAATTTGACTCGTTGTTCTTGTTCGTGAACAGCTCGTGTTCGGCTCGTTCGTT